CTCTCTCTCTCTCTCTCTCTCTCATTTATCTATTTATTTTTTAATTTTGTTTTTTGAGACAGGGTCTTGCTGTGTACACCAGGCTGGTCTTGAATTCACTCTGTAGCCTAGTCTGACCTCAAACTTGTGGCGATCTTGCCTCAGCCTCCTGATTGCTGGGATTACAAGCATACACCACCATGCCTGACCTGATACTGTTTTTAAAGGAGAGGGAGGGATAGCTCAGAACTAGGAATACAAGAAAGGAAGGAGGGCAAGTGAAGCCCAGATGTGGTGTCCAGTCTTCAGTGCCTAGCAACCCACCTGCGCCACTGCAGCAACCCTGTCACAGTCCACGTGGGCACTTCTGAGCTGCAGACCTGCTCTGTGCTCAGCCCTCTCCTCCCTGCCTCCTGCACCAGGCAGCTGCTGGGCTCACTCACCAGTGATGGATTCCGTGGGGATGGCTCTGTCCTCCAGGGCCCGATGCCCACGTGTACACAGGACTTCCTCTTGCTTTACCTGGGAGGATGCGTCCTGGGCAGGCACCAGGGGCTCTGCTCCTGGGGACCAAGAGGCACATGGTTGAAGGTCCCTTTTCTGCTCACTGGTCACCAGGACATTCTGGGGTCAGGAGCACAGTGGCCAGCAGTTACCAAGGGAGAAGACAGGAGTGCTGTGCTCCTGTTGGAGTCATGGGGGACCTTGAAGGGCAGAGTTGCCAGGAGCAGAGGCTACGAGAATGAGCCCCGCTGTCACTGGCTGGGTGCTAATCATGTTTGTGCTCTGCGCAGGAGGGATTTGTCCTTGTTTACCAGAGTGGTCAGACACAGATATGCACATGTGTATTTATGATTACAAAGCAGTCAGGCACAACCAAGGTCTGACCTTGGGTGGGTAAAGTATGGCACCTTTAACCATAAAAGACAACATCTCCTTTCCGTGGGTCCCACAGATGTGACAAGGGGCACTCTCTTCTTCTGGAGTTCTATGTGCAATGCACCAGCTCCCAGCAGGAGATAGCTCAGGGCACAGGAGAGACTGGGTGAGGACTCTGGGGGTCCTGGTTTCAACCCTGCCACCAACTGGGTTCCCAAGTCATGTTGCCTTTATATTTCTGTCTGCCTGTTTCATCTATAAAATGGGTACAACAGTCCCTGTTCTATCCTGTGGCCAGTGATGGTTTGATAGCTCAGCAAAAACCTACAATGGGGCCGGAGGTATAGCTCAGTGGTGCCAGCACCTGCCTGGCAAGGGCTAGGTCCTGAGTTTGATCCCTGGTTCCACCAAAGAAAAAAAGGAATATATAAAAAAATGAGAGAAAGAAATAAAAAAAAAAACTTACAGTGCCTGAAAGGTAGCAAGGTCCCACATAGCATGAGAAATGGTAACCACAGGTGCTGAACTCAAACAAAAAGGAGCCATCAGGATGTGAGGTCCAGGACAGGCAAAGCCACAGAGGTAGAAGGCAGCCCCGTGGTTGCCGGAGCTAGGGCAAAAGGGAGTGGGGAGTGGCTGCTAACGAGGACAGGGATTCCCATGATGAAAATGTGGAATAAAGCCAGGTGTGGTGGTACACACTTGTAATCCCAAAACTCAGGAGGCTGAGGCAGGAGGATCAACTCAAGTTTGAGGCCAGCCTGGACTACACAGTGAGTTCAAGACCAGCCTGAACTACATAGCAAGATTCTGTCTCGGGCCGGGGATTTAGCTCAGTGCTGCTGCCGCTTACCTCGAAAACACAAGGTCCTGAGTTCAATCCCCAGTACAAAAAAAAAAAAAAAAAAAGATCCTGTCTCAAACAAACAAACAAAAACATTTTGGAATTAAATAGTGGTGATGGCTTCATGACTTGGTGAATCTATGAATTGTATACTTTAAAAGAAGCAATTTTATGTCCCATAAATTACATCTCAATAAGAAACTGGGAAGAAGTAGAAAGAGTGCTAAAAGTTTCTGAGAAAATGCCCTCCACTTAACGACAAGGGGGACGGGGTAAACAGGTGAGCATTCACAGTCAGGCAGGGGACACAGGGAAGTGCCAGGTTTCACCATGTCCGACGCTGTGCTGACAGCCAAGACCCGGAAGACAGCTCCAGAGCAGAGCTGGGACTCAAACCCCAGCATCTTCTGTCCTAGCCAAAGCTGCCCAAGTGTGATATCCTCAGGGCACTGGACTCCTCAGAACTCAGGGGCCTTACAGGTGAGTATGCATGGGAGGTGTGTGCATGGAGGAAGTGTGTGCAAGAACCAGGTGTAAGACTGCAGACTACACCCAGGCCACACACCACGGGCCAGGCACCTCCTGTCACCTGCCTGAGCCTCGGGCTGGAACCTCTGGCTGCTCCCACTCCTAGGGCTTCACGTCCACATCAGGCCTGGGAGCTGCTGCAGCCCAACCCCTTGCTGTCTCCCAGCCAGCTTGCCTGTGAGGCTAGAGCACTGCGGCATTAACAAACCCAATGACAAATATCCATGGCAGAGTTTCAGGCCCTGCGGTCACTCTCCATAAGTCACCTCATGTTTCACCATGGCAGGACCTGCCTGGACTGATCCAAGACACCTCCCTTCTGCTTGGACACACGCAGTGGCGCCTCCCAGCATGCCCAGCTCTCTTCTCCTGCCCTTGCCAGGACCCGGGCAATTGCCAGCAGTATCACCTGTGTCCGTGTCCACTGGGATCTCTCTCTCTTCAGGGTGACGCTGCTCCCACACACAAGGCTCTTCCCTGGTCTCCACTGGGGCCGGAGCATCTGGCTTGGCCATGGGGCCCTCTGCATCTGGAAGTGAGATGGAAGGAGGGATGGCATGAAGGTGAAGATCGAACCCTCCTCCCCATCTCCACGGGAGACCCTGCTGCTTCTGCATGGTGGCAGTTATGTGAATAAGGTAGGTAACCTCTTAGGAGTGACCCTGAGGTCACGTCAACAAGTCCCCAGTGCTGTGCTCTGAAGGCTACCATCACACTGTGTACAGCTTGTCTCAGGCAGTTGGGATGCATGGTAGTGAAGTGCAAATGTGCTATTTCACTGTATTCTACAATAAACGTAGTGCTGTGTGCTGGTAATCCCAGTACTCAGGAGGCTGAGGCAGGAGGATCACTGCGAGTTCAAGGCCACTCTGGGCTACATAGTGAGTTCAAGGCCGGCCTGAGCTACATAGCAAGACCCTGTCTCAAAATATCAAAAAAATAGTTATGTATTATTATTATTATTATTATTATTATTATTATTATTATTATTTTGAGACAGGGTCTTGCTATGTAGCCCAGGCCGGCCTTGAACTCACTGTGTAGCTCAAGCTGGCCTCAAATTCAGAGATCCTCTGGAGTGCTGGGACTACAGGTGTGCACCACCACACCTAGCATTATAAACTGTTCTATCTTACTAGCACCAAAAGCAAATCATTTCTTTCCATTAGGTTAATATGCATCTCACAGCCCTCTCACCCAAGGAGTGGGGAGGTGACCTTACCTAGGGACATCAGGGTTTTGTAGTTTTCCTTCACAAGGTTGTTGTAAAGCTCCTTCTGCCATTCGTCCAAGTTCTTCCACTCATCCTCGGAGAAGTAGACAGCAATGTCCACAAAAGTCACCGGAACCTGGGCCAATGAGAATCTAAGTCTCAGCCTCTGGTGCTTCTTCTCATCTCCGTTTTTTTCTTAAGTTGTTCTGAGACGGGGTCTCACTATGTAGTGCAGACTGGGCTTGAACTCACAATGTAGCCCAGGCTGGCCTTGAACTCGAAGCAATCCTCCTGCCTCAGCCTCCCAAGGGCTAGGATTACAGGCGTGCACCTCCATACCCAGTTTCTCATGCCCTCTTCACCTGTGGGCCATGGAGCCAGGCCACCCAAGCCTGGCCTTTATCCCCTGCCCAGCCTCGTGTCCCAGCCCACAGGAGTTTGTTTCCACCCAGTCAGAACTCTCCAGCCCTGCGCAGCTTGCACATCATAATCAATGATAATCAACACTACCGATGCCTTCTTTCCCCAAAAGGATTCAATGACATTCTTTGCTATTTCACTTTGAGGTCAATTGAATATCTAAGCAAAAGCTATGGTCAATGTGTTTCCTCCAATGCTCAGGGTGACAGAGGAGTGGATGGTTCTCAGGGTGGAGATCACTGAGCCAAGTATGGTTAAAACCCTGGGACAAAACCTGTATTTCAGGTCAGGTCACCTCTGTGTATACAGTTACTTTTTTGTCACTAACATATGTGCAACCCAAAGGCATGTGGTGAAAGCTCCAATGTAGCCTGAGTCATCGCCTAAAGCCAGTCACCTGCCAGGCAGGTATTCTGATCTGTTATTTGAACTTGATTCAGTCCAACCAACACCCTTGTCTATGCTTATTTCAGCCTTGCCTAGTTCGACCACACCTGGGACCGAACTGTTCAAAATGGTTTCACTTCTGTGACTTTAGCCGCTGCACTTCCCTCTGTGACCACAAAGGCTTCCCCCTACCATTTTCACATCCCTAGGGGTCCAGCCCATTGCTCTCATTCTGAAATCCATCCCCCCATGGTCCTTCCCATTCCTGGTCCTCAGCCGTTAGTCTCCATATCTGCATGTACAGGGTTGAGGCTGGCCTGTGTGACATCCTGCTGTGATGAGGAGGCTGGTGCACAGCCTGGCCAATGGACAGTACCTTGATGTCAGCTAGAGACTCAGGACCCTGAGCCAGGTGCAATTCAAGGTGTGCTCAAAATATATGGTCAATGTTTAAAATTTTTAAAAATTATTATAGTAAAAGACACCCGTCTTTAATCTTCCTCAAAATCCTCCCCCTCACTTAAAACATACTTCTCCCATCACTCTTGCCACTCTGTGAAGCAGTTCTGGAAGTTCTCTTTCATGAGGATCTTTATCAGCTATGATCAAAAGTATGGTGAATGCTGCTGCTGAGTGCCATCCAATGGAAAGGCAGGCTCATAAAAATGTGGTGGTGTGTCCTCATCCACCTTATTCACCAGATCTGGCTCTTCCCCAAGTCAAAATGACCACGAAAGGTACGCATTTTGAATCGATTCAGGACATTGAGGCAGCCATGACACCACAACTAAAGACACTAATGAAAGAAGACTTCCATTTAGCATTCAGTATTTTTCAATTAAGTAAATTCTGGATTATGCTGCTTAAAATTTAATGAAAACTAGTGGGACATACCTAATAGCAATACTCTTGGAGGCTCAGGCAGGATGGTAACTTTTAAATCTTATATGGGCAACTTAATGAGACCCTTTCTCAAAGAATAAAAATGGATTGGCCTTGTCTCAAAATTTAAGACTAAAAAAGGGTTGGGGATGTGACTCAGTGTGAAGGCCTTGGGTTCAACCCCCTGTACTTGGAGAGAAAAAATATTAATGGAAAAGGCTTATTATATTAGCAACAGGGAACTGACTTCATTTTTTTTTTTCTGCCAATTATCCTAAAGTCTATAGCAGTGATGGCGAACCTTTTAGAGCTTTCAGTGATAACAAACAGCTAGCTGCGGCATGCATGACATATGTTCACCACTAGTCTGTAGTTTTGTCACATTTAGGACCCAAACCAAATTTTCATTGGTCAACCAAGTAGGACATTTTTGTCTAATTAAAATTTATATGCTGCCTGCCTAATTATGTACTACAGTTTCAGATTGGTTCATTTGCCAAAGAACGTCCATTGAAAGAGTGATGTTCAAAGATATTTCAATGAAGAATATATTTGGAAAGATATGAAAGGCCAGAGATGTGAGACATTTTTTACCTATCCAGTAGGTTGGCCACAGCTGTGAAAGTAGAAAAGTGACTCCTGCGATACAGGCTTGAGGTCTCATTTCAGGGCTGGCTCTTCTAGTCACTACACAGGTCTTTTATGTAGAGAAAGGATTTTTGGGCATTGCCTCATCATAATTAGGCCTTAATTTGCATTTAATTTGTGCTTTCTCTGTTAAAGTTAAGTATACACTGGAAGAAAGATAGCCTCTTTAATAAACGATGCTGGGAAAATAGCTATCCACATGCAGAAGACTGAATCTAGACCCATATCTTTCACCATGTACTAAACTAAAATCAAAATAGATCAAAGAACTAAATGTTAAGACAGAAACACTTAACTTACTTAAAATAGGGAAAACTCTTTTGTTATAGGCGTAGGCAAGGACTTTATGAACAGAACCCCAGTTGCACAGGAAATAGTATCAGGAATCAACAAACGGGGATCATATCAAATTAAAAAGCTTCTGCACAGCAAAAGAAATAACCAACGGTGAAAGACATTCTGTAGAAAGGGGAAAAGCCAGGTATTCCTCAGAGGACTAATAATCTAGACTGCATACAGACCTCCAAAAAATTAGACCCCCCGCAAAAAAATTAAAGACCCAGTAAAAAAATGGGCAAGTGAAATGAGTAAACACATCATAGAAGAAGTACAATTGGCCAATAAATACATGAAGGAAAAAAAAAAAAGAAGACTGCCAGAACTGCTTCAGAAAGTAGCAGGAACAATAGGATTAGTGTGTTCAGAGCAGGTAGGAGTATTTTAAGGGGTATTAATGGCAATATGTTTTTACTGTAATAATATTTTAAAAATGCAAACAGTCACCATATAATTCCATCATACCACATACTGGGCAGACAGGACATGTACACCTGTGTGCAGTGGCCCTGTCCTTACTGGCCAACAGTGTGCCATCCAGTTTTAGAATCACAACTAGAACTTCTGACTCCCTGGACCTCCCAGCAGGCTTGGGCAAACACCCAACCTGGGAAAACAGACACAGTCCTCCTTTCTTCATCTTACCTCCCCAGTACTAGCTAAAGCACAGAATTCTGCTGACCATATCTGCCATGAATTCATATTGTTTACCCCACAGTGGCTTTGGAAGCTTTCAGTTGACCTCTGGTTGATGCCTCACTGTGCTCCACGGGAGGCTGCGTCGCACCTGTCACCACCCCCAACCTTCCTGATCCTTCTCCTATCTCTTTGATCTCAGGTGGATGTTGGCAGGCACCTTTCTTGCCCTTTCCATCTCGCCAAGCCAAACCTGCCAATCTGTGTCCTTCATTTCTCCTCTACCTCCCCTCCTTGAGCGTTAACCTGAACAATCTTTTCTCTTTTCCATCTTCAGTATATCTCTCTCTCACATAGGCTTTCTTTTCAGAGTCATCCCAAACTAACAAAAGCTTCCCTGAATTCCACTACCTCAAGTCACTGCTCTGGCTCTTCACTGAGAACATCGTGAGAAACATCCTCTGTTTTACCTTCACAATCCACACACACTTTAAATCCCTAAAATCTGTCTCAAAATATGTACCGTCTATGCTCTGAAACCACACCCTAGAAGATCACTAGTGAGCTGCTGCTCTAATCCTCACCCTCTCAGACCTCTTTGAGAGGTCTTTCCAGAATTTTCTCCTGCCTGGTTTCCCTGACTATGTTGTTTGCCGTCCAACCAGCTCATGTCTTCTTTACTGTTTCCTCTTCTTCTCCCAAGACCAAGGGTATGTCCTTACTCCTCCCTCCCTTTCCTCACTTTTCCCTTGACAATTTCTTTCTTTTCACTGTAATTGTTACCTCTTTGTATACCTTTGAGTATACTCTTCAACTTTCCTTGCTCCCTTCAAAGTTCAACAGCCTTCTTCCATTCAATTCTTTAAGTACCACAAATTAAATTTATCCAAAGCCAAGTTCATTATCTACTCGGCCCTGTTCACCATTTCCTTGGAGAATTGAAACTTTAGAATCATGTCCTCAAGGTTAGAAATAGACATCACTTTTATTTTGGGGGAGTTTTTTTTGGTACCAGGGATCGAACTCAGAACCTTGCGCTTGCGAGGCAGGCGCCGGAACCACTGAGCTAAATGCCAGGTTAGTCATCACTTTTTAAAAGATTCACTGTGACAGGATACAGCAAACTCTGAAACTGCAGGAGCCTACAGTCCAGCTGGACAGGAAAGCTGGGAACCAATTAATAGACACACAGGACCCAACATGCCCACAGGATTGAGAGCATCCTTCTCAAATTCAACAGATAAAGAGAATGCATTTCACACACCCAAGAGCACAAAAAGAACTGCACCTGTCGTGAGCAACACAAATTAACAATCACATGGTGGTTTTAAAATATGTCCATGAAATCCTTCTACACTGCTGGTGGGAACAACCAGTCTGGAAATCAATATAGAGATTCTTCAAAATATTAAAAATAGAAATTCCATTCCACCACCTACTCCCCCTCTAGGTATCATCCTGAAAGAGTTAAAGACATATTACAGTGATCCATGCACACTCATGTTTATAGCAGAATAACTCATCATAGCTAAATCTTGGTTTTTTTGTTTCTTTTTTTTGGTACTGGGGATCGAACTTGGGATCTTATGCTAAGCAGGAGGCGGAACCACCGAGCTAAATCCCCAGCCCATAGCTAAATCTTGGAAGCAGCCTCTATGAGAATCAACAGATGATTGGACAAAGAAAATGTGGTATTTACATACAATGGAGTACTACTCTGCCATAAAGAAGGATAAACTTGAGTCATTTGGAAGAAAATGAAGGGCTGGTGATTTAGCTCAGTGGTTTCACCGCCTGCTGCGCAAGCGCAAGGACCCGAGTTCGATCCCTGGTACCAAAAAAAAAAAGAAAGAAAATGAAAGCACCTTCACTTAGCACCATAATGCTAAGTGAAATAAATCAGACACACACAAGCTTAAATACTGCATGGTTTCTCTTAATATGAGAAACCCAAATTATGAATAAAGAACCATAAAAGATAAATAATAGAAAGTAGGAAGATAGATCTCTCTCAGATGAGAAAGATCAAGAGATGCAGGGTGGGGCAAGGGAAGGGAGGGAAAGGGGATGAAGGAAGGAATTAGGATGTGTTCTGTAGGTGCACCAACTCCCTAAAAAGAAGGTAAATTATGTACTGCAAATATGTGAGTAAAATTTTTAAAATATGCCCATGAATTCTTTGACAGTCCTTTCAAAAGGTGGAGCCCAATTCTCCTCCTGAGTGTGAGCTAGACCTGGTAATTTCTTTCTAATCAGTAGAGAAGTAGGGCCAGGGATTTAGCTCAGTGGTTTCACCGCCTGCTGCGCAAGTGCAAGGACCCAAGTTCTATCCCTGGTACCAAAAAAAAAAAAGTAAAGAAGTAATGGCATAAAACTTCTTATTTGGAAGTCGAGGAGTTGAGACAGGGTCTCACTATGTAGCCCAGGCTGGCCTTGATCTTGCAGTGATCCTCCTGCCTCAGCTTCCTGAGTGCTGGGATTATAGGCCTGTGCCACCATACTGAAAGTATAATTCATATCTTCAAAGAGGATTTGAAGAGGCTCAGAGACAACAACAACACCAAGGTATGTGACCAACAATAGGAAAATCAGAAGATGGCACAGCCAAGATTCAAACTCAAGTCCCCTGGTTCCGTCGTCACCCAAGGGCACATGCCAGACTCCTAATACCTCACCCACTCCACAGCACACAGAACAGCCTAGGCCAAGGCTCCAGCACCGAGTTAAAATATCCAGCAGAGACGAGGGCAAAGGGTGGGTGTAAGCAGATACTGAGTTTGGTAGGCAAGCAACATGTGCAAGTCACACTCAGTCTTGGGTGGGAACCAAAGCCACAGTTACAATTCAACTTGGTGAACCCTCCATAAATAAATGTCAGGTAACTCCACCGGCAAATTCAAGCTGTTTGTTCCTGGACAGGGGCCCTCTCTGACACAATTAGCTCTCCAGCCGGAGACAGTTGGCAGATATTTTTTGCACACCACCTCTAGGCCAGGTAAGTGTGTCATCTACACAAGGACGTAGCAGTGGGCCCAGGAGTTTACATGCTGGTTAGGGAAAGCCCATCAGGAAGCCAAGAAGTAAGTATTTCAGATGCCGATGACATAGGCGCTTAGGAGAAAATCAGCATAAGGACAGAGCAAAGAGCACACAGAGGGACTTGGTTCTTAACAGGTGCCCGTGGGGTGGGAGCGCGGTGGGATGGGGTCAGAAAGGTGGAAACAGACGAGAGTTAGGCTTTTGGTTTTTTGTTGTTGTTGCCTGTTTTTCGTTTGTTTGTTGTTTGTTTTCTGTTTGTTTTTTTCTTGGTACTGGGGATCGGACTCGGGTCCTTGTGCTTTCGAGGCAGGCAGCAGAACCACTGAGCTAAATCCCCGGCCCACGTTTGTTTGTTTGGAGACAGGGTCTCACTATGTAGTTCAGGCTGGCCTTGAACTCACTGTGTGGTCCAGGCTGACCTCAAACTTGCAGCGATCTTCCTGTCTCAGCCCTCCGAGGACTGGGACTATAGGTGTGTGCCATCACATCGGGCATTGGGCTTTTATTTTAAACAAGACGGGAAGCCATCTAGGAGGTTTAGGCAGAGGTATAGTGCGGTGATTTACATTTTAAAGGATTGCTCTGGCAGCTCTGCTGGGAATGGACTGTATGGGTTGGGGGCAAGGATGCAGTCAGGAGGGGGTGATAATCAGAAGAGGTGACAGTGGCAGAGGTGGTGAGGTGTGGTCACACTTTGAGGATAATGTTAGGGGGTTTGAGAAAGAAGGCGACAGGCAGGACTCCAAGGCTCTGGCCTGACGCTCTAAAAGAGAGGCTGGCACTGTCATCAGTAGAGAGGAGGATGACTTTGGGTAGAATAGGCTTCAGGAAGAAGACCTGGTGACTTAGTCGCTTTCCTCGTCAATAGGACACAACACCTGACACTCAAAACTGAAAGGAGGAGAGGTTTATCCTGGCTCATGTTTTTAGCCCATAGTCGGTTGGCTCCAAAGCAGGACAGCATGGCAGAGGGACCTGGAGGAGGAAAAGCTGCTCAAGGCATGGAAGACAGGAAATCAGGAAGTAGAGTGTGCAGGGAGGAGCCATGGGGGAGATAAATCCTTCCAGGCCATGCCCCCAGGCCCTATCTCCAATACTAAGCTGGCCTTAGGGCCCCATAATCCAGTCACCCTCCACAAGCCCTGGCTCTCAGCTGCAGGAGGTTCTGAGAGGACATCTAGATATTAGTCAAAACACCTGGAGTTCAGTTTGGTCCTGTTAAGTCTAAGACACTTATTTATTTATTTATTTATTTTTATTTATTTTTTGGTACCGGAGATCAAACTCAGGACCTTCCGCTTGCGAGGCAGGCGCCAGAACCACTGAGCTAAATCCTCGGCCCTAAGACACTTATTGACATCCAAGTGGAGATGCTGAGTTAACAGATAGGAGCGCAGATGTGGGATTTAAGACAGAAGCCCGGGCAGGACACCAAGCAAGTAGGAGGCAGCTGACTGCACACAGATCACATCTCATGCCATGGAACTCGATGAAGTCAGTAGGGAGGGAGTAGAAACGCAGCAGAAGGCTGAGGCTGGGCCAGGACTACTTCAACCATTAAGAAGTTAAGGAGGCCGGGGATTTAGCTCAGTGGTTCTGCTGCCTGTCTCCCAAGTGCAAGGTTCCGAGTTCAAACCCCAGTACCAAAAAAAAAGAAGTTAAGGAAAGGAAATAAACTCAGTAAAGCAGACAGAGAAGGAGCCACAAGTGAGGTAGGAAAAAAGGAGGAGGCATTCTGGGAGCCACAGGGAAAAGTGTTTCAAGGAAGGCATGGCCAGCCACAGGCAGCTGCTGATGGGACCAGGGAGATGAAGACTGAGATGGACCACGGCTCTAATCCCTTGGACATCCATCATTACAGTCTCAGGAAGATCAATAGGACCAAAAGATGGGAAGAAAAGCCTGACTGGAGTGGATTTCAGACAGCATTATGCAGTTACCCATTAATTGGAATCCTGAGAATAGAGGAACATGTTCAATGAGACCAGAGGGAATGAGATCAGCAGAATGCAGATGCACACCTGTCATCCCAGCAATTCAGGAGGCTGAGTCAAGAAGATCACAAGTTCAAGCTTGGGTAACTTAACAAGACTTTGACTCAAAATAAAAAATAAAAAGGTCTGGGGATGTAGCTCAGTGGCTGAGTACCTCTGGGTTTGATCCTCAGTATTGAAAAAAAAAGTAAGGAAAAATAAGAGATGGAGGAGGAAGCTATAGATTGAAGAAAAAAAAGATATGAGACATATCAATTATAATTTGTGGACCTTATCTAAATCCTGAATCACGACAATAAAAAAATTGAAAATGTGAACATCAATTGGACACTTGAGTTAGGCTGGGGCTTTTACTACGGCAGCAGCAGTGGTAGTAACGTAGAGGTTGTTATATTTTTGAGGTCCATGTACCTTTTAGAGCTGATACTGAATTATTTATGAATAAAATAATTGATGTCTTGGATTTGCTTCAGAATACAAGAGGAGTGGGGGACATAATCAGCCAGGAGCTGCTAACTGCTGAGGCTGACCAGGGTCCCTGAGGACGCAGGACACTGTTCTAACCTACTCTGGTATATGTTTGAGTACACAAAGGCAGGAAGAAATGGGGAAGAAAGAATTGTGGAAAGTAGGAGGGCAGCTGGGACAGAAAGGGGAGCGAGGAGACCTCTGGACGCTAGACAGGGCCACCTGAGGTTATGGTCATGGCTTGAAAGCAATTCCAGGTGCTTGGTTTGGGGTCTGTCCCCAGCCACAGCTTGGATGAATGTGTACAGAGATAACCTCTGACAAATGGTCACTGCATGGTGTCAAGTGGGAAAACAAGCAGTAAGAGCTGCAGGTTTTGCAGCACACTGAGGGTAAAGGCTCCAGGACGAGCACATGTGGGCTCTGCAGGAAGTGGGAGATCAGCCACCCAAAGAACGGTCAAGATGAGGTAAAGGAAAGAAGCTGAATGAGATGTCAGGGAGCCAGAGAAGGCTGTAAGGCCTGATGACAAAACTTTGGGCTTTGTCACCTGTGCAGTCCTCACCTCCTGCCCTCTCTGGCCCAGCACCTACCTTGGGGGCCTCGCCCTTGCTGCCCGGCGGCAGCCGCAGCACCCAGAAGTTCCGGTTGCGCAGCAGGTTCTCCAGGTTCTCCAGCCGCCGCTGCAGCAGCCCGTACTCCTGCAGCAGGGTCCCCAGCACGGCCCACTTGCTCTCCATGTGGTTGCCGAACTCCACGGCTGTCTTCTCGCAGTCGGCCAGCTTCTTCTCGGCCGTCCCTGTGCGGCCCTCCAGGTTCAGCAGCTGGCTGGCCTGGGCATCCACCTTGCGCTCAACGGCCTGAATGGCAGCCACCACGGTCCACAGCGAGATCTCTGCCGTGGGCAACTGTGGCTCCCGCATCATGCGGTCAGGGAAGACAGGGGCCCGGTCTGGGAAGGGTGGGAACTGAAAAGGCATCGGTCGCCGGGCATCCATGTCCCATTCTTGAGCCTGTGTGTGGAGGGAAACAGTGACAGTCCGGATGACAAGATGTATATGGGGGAAAGAGGCAGGGGAAAACACCTGAAGAAAACACCACAGCTTCTCTTTCTTCAGGCAAGCCCCACCGCCAGCTATGGCACTCATGAATGGTCCCAGCAATGGCTGGAGCAGCCACCCACTCATCCAGCCGACTTCTCTCTCACTTCCGCCTGGCCTGCGGGAGTCAGGCTGGTTACTAGTTCACTCACCTTGACCTCAGCAGCCCAAGGCCCTGGGCCCCTGCCTCTAATCACAGACCTTTTCTCTGAATAGAGCAGCTGCTTTGCTCATGGGCTGGAACTGTTAATCACAAACTTCACATTTGCTTCATGGTTTTTGTTTCAAGGTTTTTGCTGCAAGCTGTCTGTCACTAATCTCCCCAGCAATCTCTCACAGGTTAGGGCAAGAATGATTATCTCTGCTCTAAAGATGATGAAACTGAGGCATGGAGAAGCAGCTGGTCATTCTGCAGCACTGCCTGCACCGCCAACTGCATGGCCCTAGGTGCTGCGGGGTACAAATGACCCAGGTGCCTGTAGTGCCACCCTTTCTACCAGGCTGCAGCCAAAGGAGACCAGAGGGTCCAGACCAGAGGGCAGGTGAGCACCTGCTTCTTTTTTTTAAATTCCATATAGAACTATTTTCAATAAATATTTTGCAAAATGAAAATAGATTGAACCCAGGTATGGTGGTGCACAACTGTATTCACAGCACTTGGGAGGCTGAGCTGGGAAGATTGCAGTGAGTTTGAGGCCATCCTGAACTACATAGCCAGACCTTGTCTCAAACAACAACAACAACAACAAAAAGAACAGATTTACTAAAAATGTCACTCATTACAGAGGAGGGGGGAACATTTCTCATCCCTATGAGGGGTAAGCTAAGGGGAACAGAAAGGCTCTGGGACTCTCTCTTTCCTTCCTGGGAAAGGGGTGCTCATGGCCCGGCACCTCCCCCTTATCTCCTGCACAAAACTCTCACCCCAGAAGCCAGTACCAGCAGGTGGGGAGCTGAGGCCTACAGCCAAGAAGAGAGTGGAGGGTGGACATACTGTTTCAGCATCCAGGGGTCCATGGATGACAACACAGGCTGATAACCACCTCGTCTTCACACGTGGGACAGGAAGAAATGTCACTTTCTGTCCCTGTGCCTGAGAAGCAGTCCTTGGGCTGGGAAAAGTGGGGTTCTGCTACTTGGAGGTGAGCTCCACAGGCTGATGACAAGCATACCAGATACCCTCTTAAACCCAGAGCAGCGGTGACAAGCGAGGGCTACCCTAGGGACCTGGGACTCCGTCCCTTCCTGGGAGAAAGAGGGGCCGGGCCCTGGGAAAGCCAGCCTGGCTGGGCAAGGGGCGGCTGTGCCTTTATCAGGAGGCTCCTCTTCACCCAGCTCAGAGACCGGATGAAGGTGTGGAAGTTCAGCAAGGGGGCCCGATTTATATTCTGCAGGTTTGAAGACCTAGAGCTGAAAAATGATGGAAACCAACACAGCTCCTCCTCGAGGACTTGTTACAGGAGGGCCAGGTGGGGGCCAGCTCAGACCCCCGGAAGTGTGCAGGCTTCTCAGAGCCCCTCCCACTATGGGGATACTGGTATTCGATGCCCAATGTGGGGACGCCGGTGCTCAAACTCGCCCACACACTCCAGGAATTCGGAGTTAACAGCTCTGGGACGCGGCTTGGGCGTCGTCAGTCGTCCGCAAAGCTGCTCGGGCGATTCCAATATGCAGCCAAGTTTGCCAACCCGAGACGACAAAGTCCCCTGCCCGTGGCCCCTCCTTGGCTCATGCCCGGAACGGAGGAAAAGTGGACTCGTTATTACTCGGAGAAAGGTGGCAATCGCACATTTCGGAATCTCCGCGTAAACACGAATGAGGCGTCGCTTCCCGAACGGGGCACCCGGCCTGCGGGCAGAAGCCCCCACCGGCCGCGCGCAGGGGGCGCCCGCGGGAGTCGCAATCGCGCGCGGGGCCGGGCCGGGCCGCTCGGGCCCACAGCCTTGAGGACCCCGGGCGCGGGGAGGGGCGGGGATCGCCGGGCCTGGCGCGGGGCCTGCCAAGGCTCGGCGGTCGCGGGCCGCGCGCCCCGGCCCTGCCGCGATCCCCGCCCCCACGAGCGGCCATGGCGCCGGCGGCGGGCGGCGGGCGGGCGCTGCACCCACCTGCATGGGCGGCATCCCCTCGGCCATCTCCGCGCGCAGCGCCGGCTCCTGGTGGCAGACCTCGTCGGGGGGCAGCGCCTGGGCCCAGCTCCAGCTCCCGCTGTCCAGCCCCAGGCCCTGGATGCCCAACTGCTGAGGCTGCGGCCGTGTTGACACAAACTGCATCCTGGGAGCGCTGTTCCCCGCTCGGGCCGGCCAGGCAGAGGAAGAACGTTTTCCAAGCGCCTTCCCCCTCGCCGGGGCCGGACAGCTCCATCTACAGCCCGTAGGAGCAAACAGTCCCCTCGGCGCCACTCCCCGCCCTCCGGCCCGCGCCAGCCAATGGCCGCGGAGCCCCGCCCGCCCACGGGCCCAGCCCAGAGGGGGCGCCGGTCCGATTGCTGCCCCTCCAGCCGTGATGGCCTCTCCCGGCCGGGGGGTGGGTCTAATTCCTGTTCATCCTGCAAATGTGCTGGCATCCCAGGAGAAAATGGTGCCTGGCCCATCTGAAAATTTTACTGAACACCTACTATGCGCCAGGCCAGGCACTGTTTTAGAGACAGTGGGCTTTGTGGTTGCATCCACCTGGATTTAAATTCCAAAATCAGTACTCGCTGGCTGGGACTTTTGAGCAATTTAACTTCCCTGAACCTCGCGTGTTCTATAAAATGTGGAAAATAATAACTATTCTATTTTAAAGTTGTAAAATTAAATGAGAATCATGCCTTCAGCCACATAGTAGGCACTTGTCCCCCATCCACCCTCCCAAGATAAGTCCTTGTAATTACCTGCCACATAGTGTCTACTCTGTCTTCCTAGATGAGTAGTCCTTGTGTAGTTAAGGACAGAAATCTTCAAAACTTATGAGCGAGTGGAGAGGCACACCCGCTGGTACCTGAGTTCCACTTCACTTGATAAAATAAAGAACATTACAGGCCCAGAGGAGGTGTGTGTCAGAACACTTTATTCAGGACAGTTATCAACTCAGTCTTCATTAGGCACACTTCCAGGGTACAGAGATCTGTATCTCCTGGACTTAGTATTGTTCTCAAGGAGTTTAGGGGCTTGTAAATGTTATGCACCCAGAAGCCGGTGATGTCCTTCTGTTTCCTGGCCACAACCTGTCCCTCCCATTGTAAATATCATGTCCAGTGTTATTAGGGGAAACCAAGCAAGTCCTGTCTGAAAGCTGGAGGCCGACTCACTATTACCCACAAGCTGCATCTCACAACACACATTCTGCCCTGTAGAGCACCAGCCACCTTCTCTCTTCCCTGGAGATGGGAAATGGAATGGAGGACTAGGTTAATCCCGAGGGTGCAAGCTATCTTTTAGGGTAACCGTTTGGGTAAGACTGCTTCCCTCCCTAGCATTTAATGAGTTAATAATTGTGTCTTTTTTAATACAGCGAGACACTGCAGTGGTGTGTCCACTTTGGTTTTTTCTCTACACACCACCCACAGCTTTCACCCCAGAGTGGCCATGCAGAGCTAGAGGTCCAGCTCACTGTCATGTATGAACAGAGCTACTCAACTCACACTGAATTAAGCCACAGGCTCCACTGTACCAGCCTTATTTTGTCACCACCAAGCCCAGCACCAGGCCCATAAAAACCTGTAATGGATACAAGCAGGAAGGTAGTGAATGAGGTAAGGGCCGCTTCCAAGAAGAGAAACCAGAAGGACATGAGAGGCAGCTGTTGTAGTACTATAGGTCACGGTCCCTATGCCAGGCCATCCAATGACCCATGGCTGATGAAGCTGAGGCGGCTGAGGACGGAAGAGCTCCTATCCTGGGAGGTGTCCAGTCCTTGGTGCCCAGCAGTCCCTGCTTAACTCTGAGGTAGGGATTGAAGAGCAGAATGAGCAACCAGATGAAGTGGATAACAGACTTCAAGGACCAGGCTGGATGTAGTGGTGCACACCTATAATCCCAGCACTCGGGAGGGAGGCTGAGGCAGGAAGATTACTGAGCCAGCCTGGGCCACATAGTTCAAGGCCAACCTGAATTACATAGCAAGACCTTGTCTCAAAAACAAAAAAAGATGTTAAGGACCATGGTTACATTTCTCATAAGGGAAGGCGCCTGTCCTGTCCCCCTCATCTGTCAGGTAGACAATGATGGCCTCTCTCTCCTCTGCGCATCTAGGAATTCAACAGCTGCTGCACTGGGTGAGGTGTTTGAAGAGACAGATGCTCAACTGAAAGGTTCAGAAGCCAAAAGAGAAGAGATTCCCAACATCCAAATATCTATTTGTCTACCATGTCCTAAACATTTCTGGTCCTCTGTGTCCTACAAGCTTTACTTGAGGAAGAAAACTTCCAGACTCACTCTTAGCTGAGTGGACAAGCAGATTTGAGCTTCCATCTTGGCCTTGCCCCGCCATGGTATTGCTAATTTAAGAAGTTGGCTAAGGACACCCAAGGCCACCAATGGCTAGGAAAACAAGAGCAGCCTCACATTCTCAGGATTTCCTGCCTGCAGGCTCCTTGGTTACAGCTTCCTGCTGTGACACAGTTGTGCCAGCCTCCATGGGAGGGCAGCTCCCTAGGCTGTGATGTCACGACACCCTGAGTGTGACTAAAGGCAGAGGCAGGGCTTTCTAGAGAAAAGTAGAATGCTGGGAATAAGGTGATAAAACTCCAAGATCGACAAGTGTGGAGGCCCACACCTGTAATCCCACCACTCTGGAGGCTGAGGCAGGAGGTTCACCTTGACTTGCAAGCCAGTTTGAGCTACATAAGTTCAAGAGCATCCTGGACTACATAGTGAGACCCTGTCTCAAAGCACCTCCCTCCAAAAATCAACTCCAAGATAAATTAGAAGGGGCAGAAAGTGTTAATGTACGGTCAGAGTCAAATATTATGTGTAAACCTCATAAAAGTTTTAAGACTCTTGTTATGAATTTTCAACATTCCTGCCTTTGGTAGACCTACCTTTTGCCAGCATTTTAATTCAAACTTAAATACTCAATGTGTGTGTGTGTGTGTGTGTGTGTGTGTGTGTGTGTGTGTGTCCTGAAAAATCTTTGCTTTAAACCCATACAAAGTTTGAGGAAAATACCTTTTCCCTCTTATGTTTATTCTCAGCCTGGTTCAGTTAGGCATTTCACCTTTTTCTTCACAAGTTTTCTGGGTGTTTTGTTTTGTTTTGTTTTTTGAGACAAGGTCTCACTGTGTAGTCCAGGCTGGCCTCAAACCCAAAGCCATCCTCCTGCCAGCCTCCCAAGTGCTGGGATCACAGGCATAAGCCACCACCCCCGGCTTCTTCAAAGTTTTAACACTGTGGATGAGTTCAGTTCATTGGCTTCTCTTCAGTTCTTACTCTGTGGTACCTTTCCTCAGTCTTAGTAAATAGGGAAGTGCTCCGTTACTCAGCACTTCTAATCAACAAACACCCAGGGCTCAGATACTCTCATGCAGAAGATGTGCATGCTGGAAGTGCAGCATGTTCTTTGAATCTTTTGTTGTTGTTGTTGTTGTTTTCTTTGGTACTGGGGACCAAAAAAACCTCAGGACCTTGTGCTTTTGAGGCAGGTGCAGTGCCACTGAGCTAAATCCCTGGCCCTCTTTGAATCTTTTCAGTGTGCAACCATTCAACTTTCAGTGGAATTGGTTATTAAAATGGCCAAAATTCATTCAAAATAAAGTCTTGTGCTCATGCCAAAACATATTGAGCCCTACCTCCAGAATCAAATTATGGCTTCCCACTGTGGGCTCAAAGACCCTTGCTTGACCCCCAATCTATAACTCCCTGCCCCAGTAAAGCTGAATAACTGGCCATCCCCAACCTAGTAACTCACTTTCTCCTTTCATTACCCACTGAATCTCTCTCAGCACATCAGAATCACTGGGACAAGGGTGGAAGAGCAAACATCTGGGTTTCAGCACACAGCAAGGAAACCATGGCAAGTTGGGCCCTGGCACAGGCATGTTCTAAGTGCCCAGGTTATTCTTATATTCAGCCAAGAAAAAACTCGCCAACACTCTTCTACTTATCTTGTCTCAGCCCCATAGGATCATCTGGGAAAATAATAAACATGACCAGGTTAATTATTCTAGTTCATTGTTTTTATCCTGCTGTTTACTCATTGAACTTGGCTAGTAGATATTGTCTTTCTTACACAATTTTTAAAAATTATAAACTCAAGGGGCCGGGGATGTAGCTCAGTGGTACTGTGCCTGCCTGGCAAGTACAAGGTCCTGAGTTTGATCCCTGATAACAAAAAAATAAAATAAAAATTATAAACTCAAGGCCAAGAACTAATGTTCATAGATTCTCATTCATCTCTGATTTTCAATTCTGCATGTTTAACCCAGTATCTCTAGGAATGTGCCTGTTGCCTTCTTCATCTATTATGGCTATCTCACAAAAGCTGCTGGTGGAAGTTACCACATCACATAGGGCAATCTGATATTTCCTGCATTAAACTTTTTCATCTCTGTTTATGGTCCTTCTTCCGCTACTCTCCAAATTGCAATCTCTGGCCAACTTTCTCCCAGCACAGGCAAGCAAATGGAAATGAAATGACTACTGCCTCATCTTGAATGAAGAGAAACATCATTATTCAGGGAATTGCTGAACTAGTCAACAAGTAATTCTCCTACACCTACTGGAGCAACACTTTCTTCTTAATCCTGCAACATATGCAGATGTTTCAATGAATTTGTTAATCCTCATTTATCCTCACACTTTTGTAAACTGGTATTGAGGAAAGTGAAAGTAAACTCAGGCCTCCTAACTTCCTTTCCAGGATATTTTTCATTACAACAATCTTCACGTTTACAAAAGCATTAAAAATGCTTTAGCTAGGGCCAGGGATTTAGCTCAGTGGCACCATGCCTGCCTTACAAGCACAAGGACCCGAGTTCGATCCCCGGTACCAAAAAAAAAAGTGCTTTAGCTGTGCTTCAAGATTTTAGGATAAATACGAGCTTTGCTAATAAGCAAACAAAAGGTCACAGAGCTCAGTGAGGTTTTATCAGACATTTTATCTGAAACATAACCTGGCTATCTTGGTGAGCTATGTGGCGCATTGCTTTTGAGACTACTCTGACTGGTCTGTATTGTTCTGCCTTTCTTGATGGGTGTTTGGTTTTAGGGGTGAAACTTTCTTTGGAGGGGAGGCAATTTAATTGACCAAGTTGACCAAGTGATTCTCTGTGTGACTCTGGCCAGTTACTCAAAAAAAAACTGAGACAGGGCCAGAAAGGGATACACACCCTCCCTTGACAACTGGTAACTCATGACGCCTTCTGCAATATACATAAACAGCACCTCCCAGGTGCTTCATGCCAGGACCAGTATGCTCTGGCCTGTCATGGTGCTTATAAAGCATAAGTCTTTGGAGGAAGCCCAAGAGGTTAAAAGGATTCTCTCTATCCAGCTAGTTCTAGAAACGCCATTCAGTGTCACTGCCCTTCCCAAGTGAACCTACTGTTCAGAGATCCTGGTGCAGGGACACAGGACATCGCTATTAACCCCAGTTAACTGAACCAGAACAAGTACATCAGCAACCCCAAGGGTTGACTGGAAACTTCTGGGACCTCATACAGAAAAAGGAGCTGGGCCAGATTTGCCACTCTGAACTGAGGAAAAGAAAAAACAGTGTCACATGAAATTTAGGGGATGGGCCAGGGATTTAGCTCAGCGGCACCGTGCCTGGCTCGCAAGCACAAAGCCCTGAGTTCAATCCCCAGTACCAAAAAAACAAAAAAACTTAGGGGAGCTGAGAGGTACAAAAAAACAGAGAAACGAACAAGCTAAACAGAAGTAGAGGAAGATGGTGAGCAAAAGGCGGAGACATGGACCAATGATCTCTGCAGAGGAGCCTTGGTTCTCACCACCTCCAGTTCAGCCCGGCTTTTTGACCTCTTCAGGGTGGTCTTGTAAAGATCTTTCTTTTGCATCATGGGTTCCATCCTAAACAATTTACCTGTTTTCTTTTAGGCCTGAATACCTCTAAGATATAGGTATTATTATCTTTATTTTACAGATAAGGAAACTAAGGCTCAAAATGATTAAATAATAGATCAGTATATCAGTCACATGACTCCAGGCCTTGAATCTAGCCCCGCCCTGAGTCCTCTCTCAGCTATTCACTCTGTGCTAACACCATGATGAGTCCTGTTGAGGCACAGCACTCTCCCTGCCACACCCCATCCCCACACTAATCTGATCTTCTTTCATCTTCTGCTTGTGGAATCCTGAAACTCACAAAAACACTCACCTCTGTGTGTGTGCACTCTGTGGGAAGTGACTCCTTTGCTACAGCTAAAGAACCAGAGGGCACTGACCAGGGTCCCAAGTATCCAGCTCACATACACAGAAAGAAAAACCTATCTATGACATCAGAGGTCTTTGTCTCCTTGCTTTTACTCCTTGCTACTGAGCAGCCCTTGGGAAGCAGCTGAGGCCTATTGCTGTCTATGAAGCTATGAAGGGGTATATAGGGGGAAAGGGTATCTGTGAAGAAATTTGGGATTTCCTATTCCACTTGGAATAAATATAGGCCCTTAAAAAAAGCTTATCAATGAGGTTTCTGCAGACTGAAGCAGTAACCATCTGGAAGCTTATTAAGCCTCCGTGTCTGGGTAAGATAGGCATGGATACTTATCTCTTAAGAGAAGCCAGGAACTTTGGACTTTATTATTAATAATAAGGGATTTTATATAGGGTACAGCTCTAGCTAGAGCCCAGATAAGATGTTTGCAGTAGTAAATGTCCAGCAGAAAAGGATCAGTCTTTTTTCACTTTTTAGGTCATCAACCAACTTCCATTTATTTTCATATCTGTGGCTGAACCAGAGACTCATCCGATGGTGACAACGAATATGCTAGCAAAGATGAGAGTCTGGTAAGTCAACCCCCAGCACCCCAGTGGGAAGGAGGAGGAAGAGCACACTGTGGAGTTTTCTCTTCCCTGTTGTGTCTCTCCAACAACTGCACCTCAGGAGCCTCCTCCACCACAGGGTTAGATGCATAGTTTCTCTCAGGTTGCTTGCTGGACCAAGTTTCTCCTTCACACACTAAAAGCTTTCTGTTGGCCTTTACCTTAGCTGTTCACCAATCCACTTTCAAATCTTTAACAAATAGATTCTTTAGAGATGGCCTAGAGTTCTACCTGGTAGGGGCTTGATGGAGGGAAAGGAGAATGTAACCTAAACTCTGAACTCCCTCCCTGCTTTGTCCTAGGGCCAAGAATTAGGATCCCACATTCCTGTCATCCTTCTGGGATGGCCCTGCACATTCCCCTTCACTCAGCTTTATGGCTCTTGCTGCATTGGTATTTGACCTGTGTCCACTTTCTGCTAAAGTTTGGGTCTCTGCTGGCTACAGTTCCTTGCAGAATGGGTGTGGATCTAACTGGAGCATTTTAATGCATAGGACTCTTTATATTAAGTTGTGCAACCTCAGTGAATCTTTCAGGTTAAAGTGAATCTTTTTTTTTTGTACTGGGGATCGAACTCAGGATCTTGCGCTTGCGAGGCAGGCATTCGCACCACTGAGCTAAATCCCTGGCTCGAAAGTGAATCTTCACTATAACCTAGTTCCAGGCCAGGTATTTAGCTCAGTGGCACCGCGCCTGCCTCACAAGTGCAAGGTCCTGAGTTCAATCCCTGGTACAAAAAAATATAGATAGATAGATAGATAGATAGATAGATAGATATATCTCCATTCTAGTCCCACATCACACCTCATGTAGGGATCCCTTCTCCAGCAGACCCTGGAAGATGCTTGAATCCATTCAGAAAGGAAGGCTCACCACCTAAAAGAAGTGCTCCAACTCTTTTCCCTTTTCTTTGTGGGAAGCAAGGTATGTACCAGAGCTGAATAACACTCAAGCTCCTAGTAGGTCACCAACAAAGCCAGAACCCTGGTTTGGGGATTCTCAGAACTCCCAAATTTTCCCAGAATGAGGGGCCAGATTCTGGCTAGAAAACTCATCTCAATACACTAGGGTTCTGCCCACCGCCTGGCTCGTTCTAGCCTCCTGGGCTTTTTTATGAGCTACAAACTGAAGGTTATGAGAGCAGGCCAGGCCTCATGCACATTCTTCATGTCTCCTGTTGGTCTCTGGTTTTGTGAGTGTCAGAAAACAGTGTTTTAGAAATGTAACTGTCCTCAAGGGCAGCAGGTTCAGACAGAGCCTTCCCAGGATCCCAGGAGCACAGCCAGCTGGGCCAACAGCCTTTCCTGGCACAGTCACGCCTAAGGAGATAGAGGGAAGGTTGGGGTCTGTGATAAGGAGAACACGGGTCCTTCCCTATCACTTATTGAGAGCAAACTGTTGAACTATTCCTAGACCCTGTTCTAACTTTGTAGATTTAGGGAAAATTAGAGGGTATGAGAAGAAACAACTTTTTTGCCCAAGATGTAGGACTCCTGCATCCTCTGTCATCTACTCAGGCACAAAGCAAGAGCAAAACAACAAATTAAACTGGTTTTAGTCAAGTTTCTGCAAGAACTCCTCTGCTTTGAGTATGCTGTCTTATTTGGCTTCACTTGGACAGAAGCCAAAGGCAAAGACAGGATTTTGGCAGGAAAAGGAATGTATCACAAGATTTTTTTTTTTTTTTTTTTGGTACTGGGGATCGAACTCAGGACCTTGCACTTAGCAAGGCAGGTGCCGGAACCACTGAGCTAAATCCCCAGCCCCATAAGATTTTTTTTTTAATTTCTAGAGGTTCACTTCTACCAATCATGCAGATGGGGGGGGGTGTCTCCTTGTTTGTTTTTTGAGACAGTCTCTCTATGTAGTTCAGACTGGCCTTAAACTCATAGCAGTCCTCCTGCCTCAGCCTCCCTAGTGCTTGGATTTCAGGTACGCACCACCAGGTTCAGCTCACCATCTCATTTTTCAGATGAAAATTTGAGCACTGTAAAGGGAAGGGGACTTGTATCAGGCTGTAAAGATTCTTAGAAGTAGAACCAGACTCAGATGCTCCCAGGGACTGAGCGACTCCAAGAAAAGAACACATGGTAGGCATAGTACTGAAAAGCACAATAGGCAGGACAGGCCATTTTTGTCTACATGTGGGGCTTAGCTCTCGGGGATCTAGGAGGTACCAATGTGGCAAGGCCAGCTGTGGGGAACAGGCATTCTCTTGGATGGCTTGAGAATGCTACACCCCTACAGCTCTGCTGAGGAAACTCGAGCCCAGGGGCACTTCCTGAAATTCCTCTGTGCTTGTGGAAAGCACTGTGATCTCTGTTGCTGGTGTCAAGAAAATCAGACATTGGGAATGGAGAATTCAGCTTACTGGCCTGGAAATAGTAAGGGCTCCATAAAAAAGAGTCAGGCACAGATTTCAGGCTGCTCTGTCACGTTACATGAGCAATTTCTCTGGGATCTCTATAGCTTTCAAGCTGGCTGAGAATTCTGCTCCCAGTTTTCCTAACCAGAACCTTTACAAAGATTTCTCAGAGTAAACGCCATAAAAGAGCCTGAATGCTCAAATCAAACCAGTAAAAGTAAAGAACTGTCCTCTTAAATAAGCTATTAAAGTCAGATTTTTTTGTTCACCCAATATTAAACAAAATGTATGAGAAGACAATCTAGGAGCGCCAGGAAGGCAGTCTTGAGTCCTTATGTTTCAGGGACAGACAGGCAGCAACACAGGGGTGTGGACAGAGCTTTTCCTGGAGGCAGCAAGGTAAGCAGTGGCTAAATCGAATTTTTCTGACAACCATCTCACCTTTCAAGAAACCAATGAAAGGCCTTCCACATTCACCTGCCTCAGGGTGGGCTTCAAGTTTCAAGGCTCTTCCCATGAACCTGTCTCTACCTAGAGACAAAAATCTACCTCACTGCAGCCCTGTGCCAACACAGCCAGAGGGCAAATCTGGCTTCCCACCCTCCCTGCAACAGTCCCCTAACTTCTGCTTTTGTAGTATCTTTGGAAAGACAGGATGCTGGGCTCCTTTCCCGGTTTTTCTGCATTTCAAGACATGGTATTGTTGCACGGCTGTTAAATTCTGAAACACAGTAGTTGCATGTAGAGGACCTCGAATTCCTTGACGTGCCAGAGAATAATTACTGAAGGTGGAGGGGGCCCTGGCTTTCTCCTGGACTTTCTGCTTGCTGTGAGCCTGCTGTAGAGGGCAGGCGAGCACGAGGCCGCAGCTACAGCATCCCTCCTCCAGTCCCATCCCCATACCACTGACTGGTCTCTAGGGCTTCAGCACTGACGCCAAGGCCAGAGGTTTCAAGGACGGGAAGCGGTGGCCCAGGCGGCTCTGGCGGTGGGGCGGAGGGATCGCTGTCTCCTGCGCAGCCCCCACTGTGGCCCGAGCGCAGGTGGTCCTTGAGCGTCTGTTTGTACCGGAAGCTGCGCCCACAGAGCGCACAGGGGTAGGGTCGCTCTCCTGTGTGGATGCGCTGGTGCTTCATGAGGTGGTGCTTTCGGAAGAAGCTCTTGCCGCAGTGCACGCACGGGAAGGGCCGCTCACCGGTGTGTAGCCGCCGGTGGTTGAGCAGGTGCTCCTTGCGCATGAAGCTCTTGCTGCAGTCAGTGCACGGGTATGGGCGCTCGCCCGTGTGGATCATCTGGTGGCGGATGAGAGCCGAGTGGCCGTTGAAGTCGATGCCACACTGTGGACAGGAGAAGGGGCGCTCCTGCGCATGGCCCCGCTGGTGCAGCAGCAGGCTGAGCTTCAGGCTGAAGCTGCGGCCGCACTGCGAGCAGCGGAAGGGCCGCTCGCTGGTGTGTGCGCGCCGGTGACTGCTGAGCCGTGACTGGTCTGCAAAGCGCTTGGGGCAGTCGGGGCAGGGGAAAGGGCGCTCAGCACTGTTGTGGACACGCAGGTGGTAGGTGAGTCTCGAGGGGTGTGTGAAGGTCCGGGAACAGTGTGGACAGGTGGGGGGCATCTCACCAGCGTGGTCCTGGGAGGTGCTGCCCAGGTCAGGCTGCACGGGAAAGTGCTTGGGGCACTGGGCACAGGGCCCAGGGTGCTCGGAGGCGTGGCCACACTGGTGAGTCAACAGCATGTCCTGGCTGAGACTCTTGCCACAGTGGTGGCAGGAGAACATCTGCTCCCCAACAGTAGGCGGGAGTGGGTAGCTTCCCAACTGAGTGAATGTCACTTGTCCCTCCGAAGCCTCAGGCAGGTCGGTGGCTGCACATCCAAAAGATGTCATGGGTGCAGACTGCTGGCTTTTGAAAGCCACGTCTGAGAAAGCGTCCTTTGCGGCTGCTGCTGGGGCGGCAGAGAAGGCTCCTGGAACCTGGGGACACAAGGTGGCTGGAACAAGGCCTTCGGCTTTGATGACGAGCTCCTCCTCTGAAAGAAAGCACTCAGTTACCTCTCTGCATCCTGCCCAGCCCTGACAGATTATCCCTATTCCTGACTGCTCAGACAAGGGACTCCCTGTAACCCGGACACTAATCAAGAAATGTGTACTCCCTGCAGCAAATCACTGGGGAGTTTAAGCTTGTGCCTCTTTGATGCTGCTCCCTGTTTGGGAAAGAAAAGCCTTGGCATTGGGCTACCCTGCTTTGCTTTCATTGTGCTTTACCCCTGCTTTTTCTCTGTCACTTATTGTGATAAAGCCAAAGTCACCTACTGACTCCTGTTTCCCTCTGTCCTACTGGATAGATTCTTCAGTATGACCAACTGTCTCTTTACTTTTCCTGAAGACAAAGCACACATTTCTACTTTTACATCTTTGCTCATTCTATTTTTGGGTTTTTTTCCTCTAGTACTGGGGATTAAATCCAGAGCCTTTGCACTGACCTACATCCTTGGCCTTTTGTATTTTTTGAGATGGGATCTTGCTAACTGGCCCAGGCTAGCCTCAAACTTGCAATCTTCCTGTCACAGGCTTCCTGAGTGCTGGGATTACATGGCCAGCTGGGTTCTCTCTTCTGTAGAATGCATCTTCTCTTTCCCTGTCTTCACATCTTTCTTCCTCCTCTGAAAACCTAAGCTAGAAGGGACACATTTCTTTGCTTCTTGCTTATTTTATTTATACATCCACCCTACGCATCCTCAGCTCATCACAGTGGGCATGCCTAGCACTGCTGTGTGTCCCCAGGGGAAGCTTCTGGAAGGGCAGAAACTGTTTTAGCTTTCATTTGTACTTCCCAAAGTATAAAGGAAAACAGAGCACAGAAGGTATTAAAAACAGATTGTATTAAGTTGTATGAACAGTTGGGCCCCTTATGACCTTGAGATTTTTTTTTTATTATTCAAGTGGCAAAATGCAGATGGTGCTAAATATCTTACAAGGAAACTACTTCTGTTTCTTCCCCCCTCATCATTTGTCCCTTAACTGAAGGCTCTTAACATCCTCAATTGTGCCTCTCCAGCGACATTTTATCTGCACTGGCATCTCCCCAGCCCACTCCCCATTTCTGGTCTATTTTTTCTAAGTGATCTGCAGATGTTCTTCTGTCTTTCTTCAGCCTCGTACTTTTGGTCTATCTATCAGCACTTAGTTTTCCTCCCCTAACAATTTGAATTTGCTTGTTTTTGTTGATGTTGTGCTGGGGATTGAACCAGGGCCCTTATGCAAGCTAAGTACATGTTACCACTGAGCTATGACCCCAGCCCCAACTACTGTATTTTAATCTGTCTTTGCATTTAAGAGTGTGTTTTCTCACTTGTAATTTATCTTAGAGGCCTCATAGTTTCATTGCTAAATTAGGTGACCATGCCTCTTTCCCCCACCCCTTCCTCGCCTCCAGACCCTGTGCCAGGTGCCTGAGTCCCTCCTGGTGTGGGCTGGGTCTGGGCAGAGCAGCTCTTCAGGCTGTCACTCACCAGGATAGGTGCCTTTGTACACCTCACTCTCCTTAGCCTCCTGGGGTGGCCCAACCTGAGGCTCCTCCTCCTGCTTGATCCAAGACAGAATATCTGATGTTGAAAGTCCAGGTTCTGTTTGTGGGGGATAAAGAAAATGGCCTTCAGGGATCTGAATGAGAAGGTAAAAATTATTTCTAACTAATCCTACCTTGAGTCTCATTTTTAGTCAGCTCATTTAAAAACAAATCGCAATTTTTATTTTGGAGATGACACCTTGAAATAACCTAGAATCAATAGTAATTTTCATTTTGATAGTTTTTTATGTTTGTTTTGTGGTACTAGGGACTGTTCAGTACTAGGTACTAAGGCCTTCACACTGAGCAACATCCCCAGCCTTTTTTATTTTAAGACACATTCTCATTTCTTTGCTAAGTTGCCCAGGCAGAATGTGTGATCCTTCTACCTCAGCCCCCCAGAGTCCTAGGATCACAGGTATGCGTCACCATGACGAGCTGGTACCACTCTTATAGTAACAATATTTTTACTTTTTTCTCTCCTTTATGAAATAATGGAGCAAGCATTATTTTTTCCCTTTAAGTGGAGAGCCCAAAAAAGGTTAAATAAATCTCCAATTGGGGCCAGGGATTTAGCTCAGTGGATCTGCCACCTGCCTTCTAAAGCACAAGGTCCCAAGTTCGATCCCCAGTACCAAAAAAAAAAAAAGATATATATATATAAATAATATATATATATATATGCAATAAATCTCCAATAAGGAAGTATTTACAGTGAAATATCGTAGTATCAAACATTTGCTTCAAAATACATCAGAAAAAAACAAAGAAACAAGACTAACTAAAAGAGGTTTTGGTTTTTAAAATGTTCAGTAAAAGACAAGTACATTCTGAGAAGTACAGAGTTAGGTCAGTTTAAACACAGCACACTTTGGATTCCCAATTCTGGGCTCTTTCCCAGAGATCATATTACCTTTGCTTATTAAATGATATGGGTCATTGTTTCCCGAACTCTGGATGGAGTGAAAATAGCATCTGCAAGTTCTTCAGGGCTTGGGATTATTTGTGAAAGAAGAAAGCACCAGCTTTGAATGCTTTCCACGCACACACGCTCGCCTCATGTGCTTGCTCTTCTAGTCTAGACCTAGACAACCTTCTGTGGCCTCTGCAGACAAGCTGGCAAGGTCCTGACGGTAAATTCAAGCTCTTCAAACTTATTTCTCAAAAAAGCCTTGCAGGCAGGTTATGGGTTTTTTCGCAGCATATGAACAGAACTTCCTACTCTGCTCCATGCTTCTTAAATCAGCTAGAAGTGCTGGAGTCTAAGAGCATGGCCAGAGCAGAGGAAGAGGCTGGATAAGACTAGGGCCCAAGATTGCCTGTTACGTGGAATGGGGAAAGTCCAGGCTTTGTCTCCAGACAGCAGACAGCCTTTCCTATTGCTACCGTGAGCTGCATACAAGCTCAAGTGTCCTACACACAGCCCAGCCTTACCTTTGTTTACACACACACACAGAAAAAGGGGAGGGGCTATGGGCTATGCAGAAGAGCTCCTGACAACCAAAGGATAAAATTCCATTTATCAGAAACCTGATTATCGTACATGCTTAACTGCTTTTCTTTTTTATTTTTTGGTACCAGGCATCAAACTCAGAACCTTGTGCTTGCGAGGCAGGCGCCAGAACCACTGAGCTAAATCCCCGGCCATTAACTGTTTTTCTTTCACAGTTTTCTGAACAATGAGTTAGTGCTTTAGAAACCTTCAGATGTGATTCCAGGGCCCAGGATTTAGCTCAGTGGTTCTGGTGCCTGCCTTGCAAGTGCAAGGTCCAGAGTTTGATCCCCGATACCACCACCCCCCCACCACCAAATGTGATTCCAGTGTTTCTGCTTTTTCACTGTAACTGCAAATTCACAGAATGGAATCTATATGATTAGCTTCTATCCATTGAGTCACTGCTCTCTTTAAGGTGCCGCTATCCCTTCTTTGGCCTGCAGGTAGCTCTCTGTGCTGCTCACACAGCCCCATAGGCCCCGCTTCCTTCATTTCTGGCAGGACAAACCACCCCAGGCTCATCGGTGCACTTCCTCTCCAAGCTCAGAAGTAGGGATCCCTCAGACAAGGGTTTAGCGATAAGGCTGCCACTGTCAATCAGTTCCCACTGCTTCTAGGCCCTGTCGGTGGATAAAGCTATGAGATACAGACTTCTCAGGAGAAGCAAATGTCATGAGTCCCTATTAATATTTGTTTCATATGTAAGATTACTGCATTTAAATTAAATCTTTTCATCTTAAACTAAGTATCTTTCTTAACCCTGAAAGTCTTAGTTTCTAATGACATTAACATAATCTTTGCTTAACCTGAATATATGTTTCAAGATAATACTAATAGTATTAACAAAAATATGAACTCAAAGTTTTCTATGATTGTTTTAGTCTTCAGGTCATGTCTCTCTAGGGACATACAATTAAAATACTGTGTTTTAAAATAATTTGAAATAAATCTGTATATAAGTTGAGTTATTCTATTTTATTTTTTTAATAGTAAAGCATTTATTGGTACATTCTAGGCATACATAATAACATTCATCATAGGAAATCTGCACCTGTACATAATACATCTGCCTCTTTTTTCCCCTTCCCCCCCGAAAGCCCCCTTGCCTCCACATGTACAAAAGCTTTGTTTCCATTTTTCCTTCTATTTTTTTTTACATTTAGTTATTTTAGTATGTTTGATTTTTAAATTTTTGTTAATTATATAAAATATTTACAGGTTTCTAATATAAAAACTAAAATAAGGTATATTCAGAAATGTCTTGCTCCCATCTCTACTTCCTTTCTTCCCATATAGAGGTAGCCATTCTGGTTGGTTTTTCTTTTAATCTTCCATTGTTTCTTTGTGAACACATAAACAAATATGTACAGAGTCATACTTTCCTTAACATAATACACCATACTACATAAACAATTCTATACTTTGATTCTTTTTCTTTTGGTTGGGGACTGAACTTGGGACCTTGCTATACTTTGATTCTTAACATTTTATTCTGGAGATCTCTCCATAGCAGTTCATAGAGACCTTTCTGGTCCCTTTTGCAGGTGTAGTACATAGCTGCACCATTGTTTATTCAAAAGTCTCTGACTGATGGACACTTGGATTCTTTCTAGTCTTTAGTTACAATATAGTTAGCAGCCAACCATAAAAATTATGATGAGCTAAACAAGCCATTGCTCTAGAAATATAAGCAGCTGTTGTTACTAGAGTGCACTGGCTAAATATCAGTCCTGTATACTGAACTTGGGACACGTCAAAAAGCTAACCTTTCTTCTTCTCTTCCTCCTCCCTTCCTCCTCTCTCCTTGCCTCCTTCATCTTTTTTAAAATTTTTGAATCAGAGTCTGTCTCTCAAAATCCTGGGCCAAACCCACTGAAGCACAAACCCACCGCAGCCACCCAAGCAGTTGGGAATACAAGTGTGTGCCACTATGCTCAGCTCCCTTCTTTGTGAGTGGTGAAGTCAAAAGTCAGACAGTTCTGGTGGTCATTTAATAGATCAACAGAACCAAGGATTTATTTTATTAAAGTGCTATCATAGAATGTGTAGAATTGGCTGGTGTCTGTCACAAGCTGGCACGATGGTATGACTGGGTGTGGAATGTGAGCATCCCAGAGAAAGGAAATAGGGAAGAGGAGGCCTGGCCACCAGATGACCAGCAGGGCCTGGTGCAGACAACTTCTGGTGACCACACCTGCTGCCAGGTCATCACAGTGGCACCGCACATTATTCTTCACAGGCTGATGTGTGTACTTATAGCAGCACAAAATGAAAGTAAAATCATTGGATCGTGCAAGCAGCAGGCTTTGGAGAAAGCCAGAAAAACTGCATACTGATCAGGTAAGAGGAACTGAGTCAGTGCTAAGGTTTTGTGTTTGACAGTGGTTAAAAGTAGAAAGACTAATCACAACAAAATATAAACTTTTATGTCTATATTGGTTGAATGTTATTTTAAGTCTGAATCTAATTAAATTAATCTGATTTTGTGCATTTTAATCTGATACGGATCATGCTTTCTGAAAAGGGGCCAGAAACTCGAGTTTCTGGGATTTACGCAAAGGGCTTTTAAACTAAATTGAGGCACAGTATGTTGAGATCTGGCTTCTTAAGAAGATACTAAAAATATTTGAGATGTGAAACTACCATTGTTAAAAATACAGACACTTTTTCTTTTAAAAAAAAAACCTTTATAAAACAGGTGTGGGACTGTAACAGCCAAATGTGTTATTTTGTAGTAAGTTAAAACCTGTAAGTTTCATGATCCCTGTTCACAAATAGGTTAAACTAGAATTAGCATAAATTAGGATACACACTAATCATTTATTTTCTTTAGGAAAAGATGGCCTTGCTGAACTAAAGTGACCAGAGATAAACATGGGCCAATAGCAATGAACGTGAGGCAGCACTGGTCAAAGACATCTCCAGGACTTCAAGCTTTAGAAGTAAGTTTATTCTCCTTCCAGGTTATTCTAGAATCTTGGCTTGAGTCCATGCCTTCTGAAGTGGAAGAGCTAGATAATGGACTTGCAGTAATTATTCCACTTGAACATCTGGGTAAATATTTTCTCCAAAAGTAAATTCTAGAAAATTGGGAGTTCAGTATTAAAACTGGCAGTAGCCAAATAAGGACCACATACATTCACCTGGACTGCAGTTTGACCCTAGCAATAGATTTAAAGAAGAATTTCAGAAACTCTCATGTTCGTATTTTTCTATATTCTCCAGTCACTTTTTTTTTCCAGTCACTTCTATTGGCCACTAACTATATGACATTTTTATTTAAAACACCAGGAATCAGTGAGTTTCTCCAAGAGGGGATTATTATTTCTCTCCCTTCATTGGGTTCTGATGATACTAATGGAGGTAAACTGTAAAATTAATTCCAGGGTATTTAGACATAAGGGGGGTGCTACATCATACCAGTACTATCCCCAAGTGTATGCTTTCATTTAATTAGTACACAGCAATTCTTGCTAAAGCTCAAAATAAACTAACACAATAATACATTATGGGCCTAATTTTATAACAAGGATAATAGCCGGGCAAGATGATGCATGCTTGTGATCCCAGAACTCAGGAGGCTGAGGCAGGAAAATTATCACACAAGGTCAGCCTGAACTACATGAGATCCTGTCTCAAAAACAAAAAAGAAGAAAGAAAGAAAAGAAAAATGGATAAAATCCAAATGCATTTTAGAAAATTAAGGTTTCTACAAGTATGTCAGTATTCTAACACAGATACATTAGTCTAACAACAAATTACAAGGTATATTAAAATTTCTTAAAACAAATAGGACACTGTTAGAGAAGCTGCTTGCTCAAGAAGAAAAAGCAAACAAAATGTTATATTAGAATAAGATGAAGAGATTTAAACAGTTAAATAAATATCAAAAAGATATGTTTAAAATCCTATCACTCACATGGCCTAGAATGTTTCCTCCACCTACTATTTGTGCAGGACAGTCTTTTACATGTCTTAATGATCAACAGTGTTAAATACTATAGTCCTCTGCAAGGAACCAGGGCTACTCCTCTACTCTGTCAGAAGAAGGAAAACTCAAAACAGGCAAAATAGGCCTGAGAATGCCTACTCTAGAGGGTCTGTTGCAGGTTTGTCCTTGGCTGCAGACCCGTTCACTATATCAATGTAACATAGTCCCTAAACAATAAGAGTGGCTAACAGTGCCTCAACTATTTGCCAAACAGAGTGGTTTATGCAGACCACTGCTGGTCCTTTTGGGAGTCTGGAATCTGGATCTGTCCTAGGCAAAGGGCGCCTGTGTGACAGCCACCAACAAAAACCATGGACATTGGGTGTCCAATGAGCTGCTCTGGTAGACAGTGTTTTGTACATGTTGTCACAGGTCACTGCTGGAGACACAAGGTCCCCTGGGAGAGGACCCTGGGAAGCTTGTCTCTGATTTCCTCTACAGGGCTTTCCCCTTTGCTGATGTTGCTTTGTATCCCTTTGCGTTAATAAATGTTATCTCTAGGTCCAAGGAGACCATGCACTGAATCCTCTAAGCTTTTAAAAATGTTACATATTGATTGGCCCAAGTTATATGAATCCTATTCTCAAGTTTCAATAAATATCTAGGTTCATAATCATTGATGCAAGAATAAAACCAGAGTATTAAATCAATCAAACACATTATTTGTTCATTTCAGTATAAAATATATAGGTTGACTACCCAGAAATGAAGTTTAAAAACTAAAGTAAAAATAAATTCACTAGACTATAGCTAAATGAAACTTTGATACATCATTATAAAAGCAAATTATCTGTATCTTTTTTACCCATCCTCCCAAAATAAAATGATATTCAGGTATTTAATTATAACAGCTGAGGGAAATACCAATTAATAATGTAGACTGGGCCGGGGATTTAGCTCAGTGGTTCTGTTGCCGGCCTCGCAAGCACAAGGACCCAAGTTTGATCCCCGGTACCAAAAAAAAAGAAACAAATATTGAACCCTAGGTTATATTATATTCATGTTGAACTATTTAGAAGAAAATGTACTGATGTCTCTACTAATTTTATAATACATCAGAAATAGGATAAATGTTCGGCATGGTAGTACATGGCTGTAATCCCAGCACTTGGGAGGCTGAGCCAGGAGGATCACTAGGAGTTCAAGGCCAACCTGGGCTACACAGTGAGACCCTGACTCAAAAAAGAAAGAAAAAAAAGAAAAGAGAAGAAAAGAGAAAGATAGATTAGCTGAGTATAGTGGTTGCTTCCCTATAAACCCAGCTACTTGGGAGGCTGAGCCAGGAGGAGGATCACAGGCTTGAGGTTTGGCTGGACAACTTAGTGAGATCCTGTCTCAAAATCAAAACAAAAAGGATTGGGAATGTGGCTCAGTGGTACAGTACTTGCCTAGAATGTGCAAGGCCCTGGGTTCAATCTCTAGCACTCTAAAAAAACAAAAAAAAAAGGAAGGGAGGGAGGGAGGAAGGAAGAAAGGGAAGGAACAAGGGAGGTAGGTAGGTAAGTTGGTTGATAGACTGACTAATGGCTGGATGGGAAAAAGGGATGCAGAAATGACTACACATGTGATAAAGAAGTTGAAAAATGTTAGTGGTAGAATCTAGTGCTGAATAGCTACATGTTCACTGTAATTACTTCAACTTGTCTGACTGAAATTTGTGTAATAGAAAAATTAACAGTGTATGAGGCCATAATAGAAGCTGATCTAACAGTGAGGTCTAGGGAATACTTTCTGATAGTGATGTCTGAGTTTCTATCCAGCAAAAAGCATACGATAATTTTCTGATAGCAAGGTGAGATGTGAAAGAACACAGCTAGACTTTGGCTAGCAATCTTTCTGCAGTGCTCTGCAGACCTGGGCACATCCACATTTCCCAGGTTGCGGGGTTGGGGGGTTGCAGATCCAGGGCCACTGGCTAAGTGCACCCTAGAGCACCAGACAGATGTCTAGGACCTTCTGCCCTCCAGGAGGGCCAGGCATGCCTTCCCTCCAACCACTTCATTCCAGGTGGGCATGACTGCTTCCTGTCATGTAAGCACACACTTATTTTTCTAAACTGCTAGGTCTCAGTACTTTTATCAGGGAACATATTTAATAACCCTGGGATATGTAGTATTGATGGTTGAAGGCACAGGACAAGGTGATCTCCCCTTCTATTTAAATGTCCAAAGTCTTAGGTGCTTTAGCATTAAATGGCTCTGGAAGCCCCTGGGCCTCACTTACTTCACCCTGCGCCCCCTTCTCCACCAGGAAACAGGAAAGGGAGATGAGGAGTAGATGCTCTGTCTCTCACTTACCTTCACTGGGGACTGCTGGAATGTCACTCTCCTCTGGGCCTGCCTGGTCCTCTGTATTATGCTCTCCTTCTGGTTGAATCTGAGATAAGACATCAGGTTGACTCATGGCATAATCTGAGGAGAGGAAAAAGGACAGTAGGTATGACAGAGAGACAAATGAGCATGACAACTAATTGCTTTCAAGGCTGAGCTCTGTAGTCCCAGGGAGTTTCTTTCAGATTCTATATCACTTCTCCCCATCCATCTACGTCCAACTAAGGAAAGCAGCTGAAGGAGACAAGACGTGAGAAAGGCACATGCTAGGCTGGCTCTGCCTGTGGGTTCCTTTCCTGGAGTAACAAGTGACACTGTGCCTCCTGGGGGCAGTCAATCCCCTTTCAATGTGAAGGTCACCCAGGGAACCAGCGGGCACACTTGGAACCCTGAACTCTACTCTCTGTCCCATCGTTTGGCAAAAGGAGAAATTCTGATTTCCACTTAGTATGGATTAGCCTCCGGGGCTTAGAACAAGACTGAAGTGCTTGAGGATAGAATGGGAAGGAGGACACTGGGGAAAGAGGGACTCTGAGGCCTCTTGGGGCTGCAGGTGCCAACTCAGCCTCACCCATGGAGATAAGAGACTCGTAGTTGCCCTTCATGATATTCGTGTAAAGTTCCTTTTGCCATTCTTCTAATTTTTCCCACTCTGGAGTGGAAAAGTAGATGGAGACATCATCAAATGCCACAGGCACCTAAAATCACAATCACATGAGTTAGTCCTCCCCATTGCAACAAATTCAATAAATCTCCCCCCCAATTAGTTCCTTTATTGCTTTTTTACATTGTCAGAGGGTCATTAATGTTCTGAATAGCTCTGAAACTTTCATTTACTGTCCACTTGTCATTAGTATAGCCTTAAATTCCACACTCATACAATACAGCATGTAGGTGGCACCTTTCTTGAGGTACATTCAAGCACTTTGCAGACAGAAACTCAATGCCACATGTTAAGTTTTACTGAGTTTCCTCATTTCACCTTTTTTATTGTTTGTTTGGTTTTTTGTTGGTTTTTTTTGGTACCGGGGATTGAACTCGGGACCTTGCACTTGCGAGGCAGGCGGTGGAACTACTAAGCTAAGTCCCTGGCCCTGTTTGTTTGTTTTTTGAGACACAGTCCCACTCTGTAATTCAGGCTAGCCTTAAACTCACCATGTAGCCCAGGCTGGCCTCAAACTCATGATCCTCCTGCCTCAGCTTCCCAAATGTTGGGGGTACAGGCATGTGCCACTGTGCCTGGCTGCTTTTCTTTGCTAATCCTTAGTTTCTGAAGAAATCTGGTTTGGTGAGGGAAATATCCATGGAGGGAATTCCCAATAGTTGTTCTCGTGTTCTGATCCACTGGACCTGGAAATAGGAAAGTTTTTTGATGTCTCCACAGCCCCAAGGACCACAGAAATCCTTATCGATTGGGTTCCGTTTTTCGTTTTAAAGACCTGTAAACGCCCCTTTTGACCTTCCTTGGGATTCTGAGTACTCTTTGGGCAGAATCTTTTGAATTCATCTCCCTTTTTACTTTCAAACAGGTCTGTTTTTCATTTTGAACCTCTGTTGGAGAAAGAAGGTCCAGGGGGGATCACAGGCTACCCTTACATTTTCTTCAAATGAAACACTGTGTCTATTTAATGTCTGACTTTGTCTCCAGTTCCTCCCTGCCAACCACTGAGACATCTGCTTTCTCTTGCAGTCCTTCAGTTAGTTTTCATGAGAGATTTTCTCTTTCTAGGGAACTACAGCTCACTGCTATTTCTCTTTATGTTTTTTCTCCGCTTTTCTTTCAGCCACCAAGTCTGCTTCTCTCTCAGGGTCGTTGCAGCTTCTCCCTGCCCTTCTTCAATGTGGGTGCTCCGTTTCAACCTTTCATTGTTTCCTTCAGCACGTTTGAATTCAGCAATTTATTCTTTGTCAAGTGAGGTTACTTGGATCTACAAACTACTAATTTGCTATTTCAGATCCGAATTTTCATTTCTTTGCATTTTCAGGGCTCACAATTTGTTGTTTGAGTTTTAACCTAATGCCCTGAAGTTCCCTTCTGGCCTGGCCTGCTCTTATGCCATCTGAGAAGCCCACAATTTCTCTTCACTCCAATTATTTTCAGATTGCTTCCAGATATCACTTTCCCTAAATCTGCCAAAGTATTCTCAAAGTCTAGCTTTTCATTTTGTAAAACCACGTTTCTGATATCTTTATTCTTTTACATATTAATTCATAATCTTTTTTTTTTTCCATTTGCAGTACCAGGGGATCGAACTCAGGACCTTGAGCTTGACAGCCAGGTGCGGCGCCACTGAGCTAAATCCCTGGCCCTCTTTTTTTTTTTTTTTCAAAGAGATATTACTAGGCTCGGGCAGGCGTGCGGGCGTGGTGGGAGGAAGCCGTCTGCACAGGCGCTTTGGGGCGCGAGGATTTCTGGGTAAAAATGGATGTCCATGATTTGTTTTGCCACCTTGGCGCTGGGGCCAAATTTGACGTGAAACGCTTCTCAGCCGATGCAGCTTGTTTCCAGATAGGAAAAAGGAAATATGGCTCTGATTCTTCAGAGATGCTGCAGAGTCTGGACTTCTTTGGAAACAAAGTCTGTCCCAGGTGAGTGTGGTGCGACACAAACGCAGCAGGAGCTCCAAAATGAAGAGAAAAAAGAAGAGCCTAACTGAAAGAAAGAGGGGGCCCAAACAAGAAAAAGAGAAAGAAGTTGATTTCAGAAATTACTTCTCAAGAAGAAGGTACTACTATACAGTGGATGTCATCTGTGGAAGCAAAGATTAAAGATAAAAAAGTTAAAGGAGAAAATAAACTAATTCCAGGGAAGTTGGAACATCTCTGAAAGGAAAAGATAAACTTCTTCCGGAATAAACACAAAATTCACATCCAAAGAACTGATCTTCCTGATCCAACTGCTACATTTCACTTGACCAGGAATATAAAATTAATTCTTAACTGCTTCAAAACATTCTAGATGCAGGCTTCCAAATGCCGACACCAATCCAAATGCAAGCCATTCCAGTTATGCTGCATGGTTGGGAACTTCTGGCTTCTGCTCCTACAGGATCTGGGAAGACTTTGGCTTTTAGTATTCCCATTTTAATGCAGCTGAAACAGCTCACAAATAAAGGCTTCAGAGTGCTGATTATATCCCCAACACAAGAACTTGCCAGCCAGATTCACCTAGAGTTAATTAAAATCTCTGAGGGAACAGGCTTTAGAATACACATGATCCACAAAGCAGCAGAGGCAGCCAAGAAATTTGGACCTAAATCATCTCAGAAGTTTGAAGTTTCTGACTACTCCAAATCGACTGATTTATTTATTAAAGCAAGATCCACCAGGAATAGACTTAACAAGTGTTGAGTGGCTGGTCACAGACAAATCAGACAAATTGTTTGAAGATGGCAAAACTGGATTTAGAGACCAGCTGGCTTCCATTTTCTTGGCTTGCACATCTCACCAGGTCAGAAGAGATATGTTCAGTGCAACTTTTGCATATGATGTTGAACAGTGGTGCAAACTCAACCTGGACAATGTCATCACTGTATCCATTGATGCAAGGAATTCTGCAGTAGAGACTGTAGAACAAGGAGCTTCTCTTTGTTGGGTCTGAGACTGGAAAACTTCTGGCCATGAGAGAACTTGTTAAAAAGGTTTTCAATCCAGCTGTTCTTGTTTTTGTCCAGTCCATTGAAAGGGCTAAAGAACTTTTTCATGAGCTCATATATGAAAGTAATAATGTGGATATCATTCATGTAGAAAGAACACAAGAACAGAGAGATAACACAGTCCACAGCTTCAGAGCAGGAAAAATCTGGGTTTTTTGCGCAGCCTTGCTTGCAAGAGGGACTGATTTTAAAGGTGTGAACTTGGTGATCAATTACAATTTTCCAACCAGCTTAGTGGAATATATCCATAGAATAGGTCGAACTGGAAGAGCAGGACATAAGGGAAGAGTTGTTACATTTTTCACTGAAGATGATAAACCATTATTGTGAAGTGTCGCCAATGTTATACAGCAGGCCGGTTGTCCTGTACCAGAATACATAAAGGTTTTAAGAAACTACTAAGCAAACAAAAGAAAAAGATGATTAAAAAACCATTGGAAAGGGAAAGTATTAGCACAACTCCAAGATATTTCTTAGAGCAAGATAAAGATAAATGGAAAAAGGTCACTGGCCAGAAGAACAAGAACAAGAAGATAGCTCTTGAAGACAAAAGTTAAAAACAGACTTTTTTTTAGTACTGGGGATCGAACTGAGGACCTCGTGATTGCACAGCAGGCGCCCGAACCACTGAGCTAAATCCCCGGCCCCAAAAACAGACTTTTAAAAAAGACTCACAGAAATTAATTCTATGGTTCCAGCATGAATGTTCTTCTCACAGAATACTTCGAGGCTTGTAATCACTGCTACCAAACATTTGGAATCAACTACAAGTACATAAAAAACTGTGAAAAATGATCCTAAACTAAAAAAAAAAAAAGAGAGAGATCTTTCTGTGTTGCCCAGGTGGCCCCAAACTCCCGGGCTCACACATTACTCCAGCCTCAACTTCCACAGTAGCTGGGGCCATAGGGACCACTGTGCAAGGTCCTTTCCTATTAGAGCATTAAGCAACATTCAGAGCTCATTTGTGAACATCACTGAGATCCATCCTATCCACTTTCAGTCTGTAGCTCACTCCTAGATCTTCCTGCATCAAGTTTGATCTGTTACGTCTAGTTTGAATGTTTAAGGGTTTTGTTTTTTTGGTACTTGGATTGAAACCAAGGCTGTCATACTGAACTACACCCCCATCACTTTCTCTCCCTCTCTCTCTTTTTGCTTAAATTCTTTTTTTTTTTTGTACCGGGGATCAAACTTGGGTCCTTGCGCTTGCGCAGCAGGCGGCGAAACCACTGAGCTAAATCCCCAGCCCTTAAATTCTTTTATTGGTACTTTTTGGGTATACAATACATTTACATTTATCATTGGGTACTTGTACCTTACATGACGTATCCTGGTTCTTATTTTTTCCCCATTCCCTGTGCTCCCTTCCCTATTTACAAAGACTTTGTTTCCATTTTTTTCCTTTTCTCATAATTTTTCCTTTCCCTTCTTTCCTTTCCCCTTCCCCTCCCACTTCCCCTACCCCTTTGGACCTTTTCTTCCTATTTCAAATTATCACTTATTCATTTTAATCATTTTCATCCTTATTTACACTTTCAGTTTCTCACACTAGAGAAACTTCAGTATTTAGACATATGTGTCCTATTTATTTCACTTAAGAGGATGTCCTCAATATGCACCCATTTAGCTATAAATGTCTCTAGTTTCTCATTCTTTATGGCTGAGTAGTACTCCATTGTATTAAAAAACCACATCTTCTTTATCCAGCTTTTTTTTTTTCTTTAAGGCAGGTAATGATGTGCAGAGCTGCATTCTGCTACCAGCCAAGCGGAGGCAATTTGCTGTGAGATCACAGAGAGTAAGGCCAGGCATCCAGGGTTCTGTCCTTCCTTTGCCACTCAAAAGGGATATGATCCGTTAGGATATGTTGGATTCCTTCCCTGCTGAGAGCACTGATGCTGTTGGAGTGCTGGAGATGAACCATCAGGTTCGTTTTTAGGTGACTGTCATTTTGTTTCTGTCACATTTTGCCTCTGCAAACTCCTTCAGGCAGAGCCAGAGATGTGTGCTGATATCTCAGTAAGAAGGCAGAGTCCTTA